ATTTTAGTTAGAATTTATTTTAAACTTACAGAAAAGTTGGCAGGAGGAGGGGTGGCAAAAAAAAAAAACCTTACAGAAAAGTTGCAAGTGTAATATAAGGAATTTTCATACACCTTTACCCCAGATGACAGTTTTTTCCTACATCTGTTTTAGCATCCTCAGTAAGTAAATTGAGATTCATACACACACCTAATCACGTGTGCACACACACACAGCCATTTTGTCCTCAATCTTGTGAGAGAAGACATTTGTTTCCCTCTACCACTTAATATTTCACAGTAGGAAAACAGACATTTTCTTATATAACCCATTTCAGTTGTCAAATCAATGAATTATCAATTGAATAGTTTAATCTGTAGTAAACCATATCCCAGGTGATTAATTGTACTAGTAGTATTCTTTGCAGCAATTAACTTTTTATACACAACCCACTTCAGGTCATATCTTGCTCATCATTTCTTCTTTTATCTATTAAACTAAGCTACTCTGCAGCCTTTTGTTATTTTTTACAACATTGAAAATTTAAAATTCTCAAAAAAAAAAAATTTAAAATTCTCATTAAAATTCTCTGTGACTGTGTAAACAACTGGGGCAGTCCACCTTTTGGGGGGCAAGTGGCAGTGTCTGGAGACATTTTTGGCTGGTAACACTCAAAGGCCTAGATGTGGATGGGGTGGTGGTTTACAAGCATATGAATGTATGTAATACTACTGAGCTTTACACTTAACTATAGTTAATATAATTTACATTAGGTACATTTTACCACAATAGCTGAAAAACTAAGGTTTAATTTTGGTATGTACAGAATACAGGCAGGGAGCCCTGCTTAACTGCATTACAGTTAATACACTGGGGGCTGGGGATTTAGCTCAGTGGCATAAGCGCCTGCCTTGCAAGCAGGCAGTCGTGAGTTCGATCCCTGGTACCGATAAAAAAAGAAAAAGACAAAAAAACAACAACAAAAAACCAAACCAAAAACAAAACAAAAAACAGTTAATGCATTGGAGCCTCCTACAACAAAGGATTACTCAACATAAACACTCAGTAGTGCCAAGGTTGAGAAATTCTTGTGTAAATTTGTGTGTAAACTTGCGGGGTTGGAGGAACTAGGGTTTGAACTCAGCCCATGTACTGAGCTACGTTCTTGATCTTTTAAATTATTTTTTATTTTTTGTTTTTGAGACAGGATCTTACTAACTGGCATAATTGCCCAGTCTGGGCTTGAGGTTTTGAGCCTCCTGACTCAGCCTCAGCAGAATGCTGGAATTGTAGGCGTGTTCCATTACTCCTGGCTCCAGTATTTGTTACATTCCATCTTTTTAATTTGTAATCATCCTAGTGAGTGTAAAATGATCATCTCCAAAGGTTGGTATTAAAGGAGAACTTTCATTTTCTTTTGATTATTGGAACTATGCATCATCAGAAAGATACAGATTAAAATATATAGTTAATATTCAACAGTTACCAACTAGATAATGACTGGTGATATTAAAGCAAGAAAAGATAGCCAGGAGTCCTGTAAGAAAGGTTTGGTACATTATCAGAAATAACTGCCACACCATCAAAACTTCAGGGATTTCTCAGGTGAGTCTGAGGCATGAAATGCCTTGTGGGTAAAGGAAATGGATGTTTTTAGGAGATCCTCAAACCTCCCAAACTCATTGAAAATGTGCGTTCTTGGTTGCACTCTATTGTTGGCTTCTGACTAATCATTACATTTGGCTGAAGCAACCTAAAATATATTAAAAAGTAAGTTGAAAAATCATAGTGGCAAGTAGTGATACCACAAAAGCAGTGTTTTTCAAATGGTAGTTACCATTTTATTGATCAATGAATCAATTTACTGTGTGTACTGTAGTAGATTATGATTAGCTTTTTAAAGACACAGATTCAAATAGAATCGAAAACTATGTGCATGTTGAGTCTGCTTAACAAAATTATGTAAGTGTGTAAATTGCAGGCAACAAATTTTCTAAACTGTATAATTCAGTAATATTCGGATTTGTTGACCACAGTCCACTTAAAGAAATGATTACATTATCCAGAATAATTTAGTAATAAAGGAATTTTAAATGTATATATTTTCTTATTTACCTTTTATATCATTGTTCATAAATTGTCTGGCTATATTATGAAATTTGAATTTTAAAGTTACAGTGCCATCTGGTGGTTATTTTGAGCATATTTTAAAAATTTCCTTAGAGTACAGCTAGATGCCAGTAGAAGGAAGGTACTTATGTGTAACTTGAGAAAGGGCCAAACTGTATTCTAAAGCTGCTGCATAATTTTACATTTCCTCCAGCAATGTTAACCAACTTCTCCATATCCTGGCCAACACTTTTTTATCAGCTTTTTGTAACCATGCTACTGGATGTAAGGTAGAATCACATTGTGGTGGTTTTTGTAGCATTGGGAATTAAAACCAGAAGCTTTGCACTAAGCTACATACCCAACCTTTTTGTATTTTTTATTGTGTCTGGCTAAGTAGCTAAGTTGCCTATGCTTGGCTTTAATTTACGGTCTTATTCCCTCACCCTCCTGTAGGGTCCTTGTGGTCTTGATGTGCATTTCCTTTATAAGTAATGTTGGTGAGTACTTTTGCACATGATCTTTGGCCCTTTATATGTCTTGTTTGTGACTTGTCTATTCAGATCCTTTTTTTTTTTTGAGACAAGAGTCTTCATTGGGTTGCCCAGGGTGGTCCTCTACTCTTGGACTCCTGCCTCTTCCTCTCAAGTAGCTAGGAGAATACGCTCCTTGCCCATGTTTGAATTGGGTTATCTTTCTATTGCTATTTTGTAAGAACTCTATATATACTGCATACTTGACCTGTATCAGACTTGTGAATCTTTTCTCCCATTGTATGGATTGTCATTTTATTTTCTGGATGCTGTCCTGTGATGCTCAAAAAGTTTTAATCTGACAAAGTCCATTATTTTTGTCTTTTCTTTGGTTTTTGTGCTTTTGGCAACATATAGGAATCCATTGCCAAATCCAAGATCATGAAGATTTACTTATTTATTTATTTAGGCAATAAGGACTGAATTCAAAGTTTTCTTGCTGAGCTATATCACTTGCTCATTTTTTTCTTTATGATGAGATAGGGTCTCTTTAAATCATTAAATTGCCTGAGTTGGGCTTGAACTCTTTTTCTTTCTTTTTTTTTTTTTTTTTTTTGGTACCAGGGAATGAACTCAGGACCTTGCATTTGCCAAGCAGGCACTTATGCCTGCTGAGCTAAACCCCAGGCCCTGGCCTTGAACTCTTAATGAAGGTTTATCTTGTTATTTTCTTTGCTTTTTTTTTTTGTACCGGGGATTGAACTCACAACCTTGCACTTGCCAGGCAGGCACTATGCTGCTCAGCTAAACCCCCAGCTTGATATTTTCTTTTAAGAGCTTTTTATAAAAGAATAAAGTATGAGACATATTTCACCTCACCTGTGCATATACAGTTACTAGACTATACTTGTTCAAACAATGATCTTGGCATGCCTGTAGAAAATAAATTGGCCATAGGTTTATATCTAGACTCTCTCTTTTTTTTCTTGTGCTGGGAATTGAAACCAGGGCTTTCCACGTGCTAGACCAGTGCGTGAAGACTGGCTGAGATCCATATGTATGACTGAGATCGCAGGAAGGATGAAGGAAAAGAAAGTGGAAGCAAGCAGTGCTCTTTTAGGTGACACAGAATTTGCCAAACTCACTGCTGCTTTTTCATTGGCAGAAAGTTAATCTCATGATCACACTTTAATGCAAGAGTAACACAGCTAAATGTGTTACTATGGATGAAGGCATAAGTGGGTTTAGGGGGACAACAGTGGTCTGTCACAGGAGTCCTGCTCTTACCTTATCTTTGGGAACACCACCCTCCCAGGAATTTACACCAGAAACCTGGCAATCATCCCTGACACCGTCCTCCTACTCTCCCTCCACACCAGATCATTGTAAAACTGATGGGTTCTCTTTAAATTCCTACTATTCCTTCTAGATCAGGTTATTTACTACTTTTCTTTACATTATTGTAGACTTCTGTGTCTCCATCTACACGCAGGAAAAGCCAGAAGTATTCTTCCTAAAGTGTTCTACGCTAAAATTGCTTATCTTCTAAAATAGATCTAATTACGTTCCCAAATCTTCTCCTTTCCCATCTCATATTAATTTAATGCTAGAGTAATCAAGGTAATGGTGTAGAATCTGGTCAAGATAACTCCAAATCAAATTTTAGCCAATATTGAATTTAATAGGTTTAAATTGGCCTACTATAATGACTTTAAATAATTTAGGAATAAATTTACTTTCTATGAAGACCACTAAAAAAAAAAAAAAAAAAAAAAAAAAAACTCCCAAGGGTGAGTGGAGAGTAATGCTTTGCTTTCTTTTCTAATTAAGTTTTTCTCAACATTTTCTAAAGCAGAATTTATGTAGTCTAAAAATTACACGGGCCAGTCAACATACTTTCATAAGCACAACAATCTTGTCCTTTTTGTTCTGTGTCTCAAGTGACCAAAGCATGCTAGTATTTGTTGAATAAGTAAATTCCTTTGGAGCCTTTAAGAATTATAACGTGAGAAGGTGGGGATTTAGCTCAGCGGTGTAAGCGCCAGTCTGGCAATGCGAGTAATGAGTTGGATCCCTGGTACCAAAAAAGAAAAAAAAAAAAAAAAAAAAGAAAAAAAAGAAAGAAAGAAAGAAAGAAAGAACCTCGTAAACCTCAAATTCCTATATGAGCACATATATATGTAAATAAGCCAGTTAGGGCTCATAATGAACAGAACAGTATAAATCCCACCTCAAGAGTACTTTCCTTAACTAGCTTTGTAAAAATAATCTCTTTACCATACCTCTACAAAATGCAAAAACCAACTTCTTCATTTCAAATCTGTCAGTTTTTAGTTCGTTTAGCTGTTATGTGCAAGTTATACTCCCCAAAGTGATAGCGAACGCTAGAATTCGTCGTATAACAGCATTTATTCCAAGAGTAAACATTTTCTTTTCCAGCACTGGTTCTTCCTGTGGAAATTTACTATGAATTCGTTAGTTTGCAAAGATCTTTGTTCCACAAGCTGCTCCTTCACCGCAAGCTGAACTGCTCCCACCGCACGACGGCTGCGAGAGGGCACCTGCAGGAGCCCAGGACCGAGGTGGGCTGTGGACGGCGAACACAGCCAAAGAATCCAGGTCAGTCCCTGGTTGATCAAGGTCTGCAGTGTAATACTCAGTCACCCTCTCACCCTAGGCTTGGCGCTGCAACCAAACCTGAGGGCCAGGAAAAGGTAGCCACTGACGCTCCCCAGGTGTTAGGAGACCGATTGTCCCCGTAGGGCTCCGGGAGAGGGGCGGGGCCGAGTTGTCTTTCACAGCGCTTGCGCAGAGAGCGGGTTTCCAGGGCTCCGGAAGAGACTGTGAGGGAAACAAGCCTACCGCCAGGGGCCCACTGTGCGCGCAGGCGCACTTATCAATCTCTGGCTTCTCTTAGATCCTACTTTTCTTGAAGGCCTTAGAGGGCGGGGAAGGAGGCGGGGAAAGGGGCGGAGCCACGGGAGGAAGCGTGAGTACGCGCTCTGCTCTTGCCTTAATCGGCGCCGCAGTCACCACCGCAGTTGTCGCTAGGTCCAGCCATCTGGGGAAGTCATGCTGCCCAACACCGGGTAAGGGGATAGGGACGAGACTCAGTGGGATAGCAATGGGTACGGCTCGGCGGAGGGAGGGTCTCGGAGGCGGGCGCGGCGCTCTTGGAACCCGGGTCTGTGCTGGACTTCTTGTGTACTGTGGATCTGCAGCGTCGCGTGGAAAGTAACTCGAAGTTGTGTTACTACTGTAGTCAGGAGGGCAGCAGCGTAAAATCTTCGTCCACAGGTAACGCGTCAAGAATGGATCCTCCCTCCCCCCACGCTCCTTTTGGCAGCCTGATCTTGGCCCTGCCTGCAGCTGCTGCTCTGGCGCCAGGAGGGCGAATTCTAGGGGAGAAAGGTCGGTGGGGCAGCTGGGAACCGCAGGGATTCCGCTAGGTCTGAACGCTTGGTTATAGAGGAATGAAATAATATCTCTTAAAAGTGATTTTCAAACTAGTAACAAATCAGACAGTTCTTGAAATGTGGGAAAATGCGGGTATCTTTATGGGCGGATATTTTTCCACTTAAAAATTTTTAAGTGTGGCAAAGTACACGTAAAGTAAAATTTGTTGTCTTAACCATGTTTAAACGTACAGTTTAGGAGTGCCAGGTATATTCACATTGTTGTGCAGCCAACCACTACTTGACTTTACATCTTGTAAAACTGCAACTGTACCCATGAAACGAAGTCTCCCAATTTCCGCCAATCTCCAGACCCTGGCAACTGCCTTTCCACTTTTTGTCTCTATGTAAAGTTTTCCGTCCAAGCTGGACCTGGTGGCTCCTGCCTGTAACCTTTGCACTCTGAGAAGCTGAGGCAGGTGGATTGCAAGTTTGGCTTCAGCCTGGGAAACGTTGGGACTTAGCTAGACGTTGTCTCAAAAAACAAAAACTAAATAATGGGCTGGGGATACAGTTCAGTGCCAGAGAGAGGCTTTTGGTTCAACCCCTAGTAGAAAGTGGGTAAGTTTGGGTCTCTTGAGCTAGGTCATATGGCCAGGCCTTAATTAGCTTGAACCATGTCTAATGTCTTAGCTAAAAGACATTTGCAAAACAAAAAGTGAGTTTCCTCACTCTTAAAATCCACATCCCCAATTACTTGCTGGTGTGTTCTTATTCTATGTAATCATAAGAGTATTTTGTACACCAACCAGAGACACATTTTAAAAACAGTAGCAGATTCCATTTTGACCTTTTTACTTAGGCTATACATGTATGTCACATATATGTCTTGGGATGTACACTATATACATTTTCAGTACATGTAAATATTCCTCTCTGTTTTGTTTCTTTTCCAAGTGCTGGGAATTGAACCCAAGGCTTTCACATCGAGTTACATCCCCCAGCCCTTTGTAAAATTTTTAATTTCGAGACAGAGTCTTGCAAAATCATTGAATTGCCCAGTTAAAGTTGGAACTTGCACTGCTAGAGTGCTGCTGGGATTACAGGCAAGTGTCATTATGCTCAGACATCTTATTTTTAATTGTTTCATAATCTCTGACTACAGGGATATAATCTTATTTACTTAACCTGTTCCTTTTGTGGAATACCAGCTCTGCCAGATTTTTTTTTTTGTCTTTTTCCTTTTTATCGGTACTGGGGATCAAACCCACGACTGCCTGCTTGCAAGGCAGGTGCTTATGCCGCTGAGGTAAATCTCCAGCCCCTATTGCCAGATTTTTGGTTCACTGATTATTCTTGTATTCAATTGTTTGCATATATGTGAGTATATCTTTAAGCTAAATTCCTGCAGTTGAAATTGTTGAATCAAACAGAATATGCACTTTAAATTTTGATAGCTCTAACATAGATATTTGCCTTTAAAAGATTGGACACCCAAAAGGATGAATAAGATTATCTAAGCTAAAAAGTTGGCAAACAGCAAAATATTGGTAACAAAAAATTCCACTTAAAGAATAAATAATTCTTTGTTATAAAGTTTGCATTTGTTTCATCACAGTGAGGACAGAGATTTCTTTATAAACCATTCTTGATGCCTAGAGGACATATGGCAATACCTGTATCTGATAAGGGTTTTGATTATCAATAACTGAGGGGAGTTGCTAATGGCACCTGGAGAGTGGAGTCTCAAACAGAGGTAAATATCTTAGCATACGCAGGCATTCCTGTTGTATAGTCCAAATGTCAGCAGTCCAGAGGTTGAGAAAACGTGGCTTAAGGCTGTCTGTATATCTTTTTATTTGCTTGGTTTAACCAGTGGGATTTATGATGACTCTCTGAGAACTTGTATATTTAAAAAAATGTGTTCTTTATCATAGGTGTTACTAATATTTTCTCGTGTTATCTCAGTTTTAAAAATCACATATTGATTTTGATGCCACTATTTGTTTAACATAAAGACATGTATTTTTATGAAGTTAGAATTACTGTTCTTTTAAGGCTTTTGTGTTTTTGGGACAACCCAGGATGATCATGTTAAAGCATGACATTTTAAAATTGATTTTCTAGTACTTTTATGGTTTTACACTAAATTTATTATTAATTAATTTTCGTGGTGCTAGAGATTGAACCCTGGAATTCACACATACTGTGTAAGTGGTCTACCACTGAGCTAAACCCCAACCCCTATATTTATTTTTATTATTTATTTATTTGGTTTTTTTTGAGATAGTCTCACCACATATATATTTCAGGCTGGCCTTGAGCTCACAGAGTTTGAGGCCAAATTGGGCTACACAGTATATATATGGCCATACACACACATATGTATACATATGGGCCACCATATATACACATACATGTATATACTTCATATATATAAATATATATATATTCTGTGTGTATGCAAATGGGTATATATATATATATATACATATATAGGTATATATATATTATATATGATTTTATCATTTGTATAGGAAGTGAGTTAGGGAGTCCAGTTCATGTTGGTTCAATTGACTGTCCTGTTGTCTCAGAAACATTGAATATTCCACCCCTCTGCCTTTTTTTTTTGAGACAGGGTCTCTGTTTGTATTTCAGGCTGGCCTTACATTGTAGCCCAGGTTGGCCTCAAACTCGCAGCAATCCTCCTGCCTCAGCCTCCCGAGTGCTGGGATTATAGCTCTGCATCACCACACCTGGCCTGGCTTCATTAAATTTTAGTTTGCCCTTTTGTATCTGTTTTCTCAAAAGTATGCAGACATATATTATATGTAAAATGCATTCTATGTGTGTGATTTTCTCTTTTCAGTATTTAAAAAGCAGTATATAGAAATATTAAAGTGATTTTTAATGAAAGTGCTCACATGAAAATGTCCCAATTATTGTTTTAAGAGGTCGTAATCCTTTACTTGTGACATAGCTGGACTGATTCCCAGTGGGCCAAAGGCTCGGTCACTGGCGCAAGAATGGCAAAGGCAGCCAGACGTGCTACAAGCAGCAGAGCAGGATGTCCGTGACAAGGGCACTTCAGAGAAGGCATCCAGAGTTCTCTCCCCCTCAAGATGATGGGTGCTTGCAAATGTAATGAAAACCTAAAGTCTAATTTACTCAACTTCTCTAGCACTTGAAAATCAGAGAAAATGTGATAAAATTTTTAACCATTTTTGAAAAGAAAAACAGTTTTTTAAAAAAACTACACAAACTATGCTAAAGTTCATGTGAAAAAATAAATACCCAAAATAAACAGAAAAAAATTCAAAAAATAATACAAATGGGGCAGGAGCTACTTTTCTCTGATACAGTATTAAAATATTTTTAAAAACCAGAGTAATTAAAATTAGTTTAGTATCTGGTGCATGAATAAATTGAAGTAACAGAGCAAAGCCCAGAAATAGAATCCTATACGTAAAAAGAGTTTAGCATATAATAGGATTTCTAACAGTAAGCAAAGGATTCACTATCCCCAAGAAGGGACTCCTCAGCAAGTGTGGTGGTTTATGCCTATAATCTCAGCACTCAGGAGGCTGAGGCAGAAGGATTGCTGCAAGTTCAAAACCTGCTTAGGCCACGTAATAAGTTCTCTGAGTATACATCATTACAAGGTTTTGAATTTTAAACTATGTATATTTTATAATTTCCTTTACCAAAGATGAGGGGATAGAAAAACTAAAATTGAATGGTAACAAAATAAATTCAACTACATACTAAACCGGTGACCTAGAAATAGTTTAAGTAATTTGTGGTTGGGGGTTGGTTACTACTATGGGTTGAATTCAGGGCCTTTACATTGAGCTTTTTTATGTTGTTTTCTTTTGAAGCAGGATCTCCCTAAATTGCCCAGTCAGGGTTTGAATTTGTATTATCCTTCCTCAGCCTCCCAAGAATGCTGGGATTACACGTGTGTGCCTCTAACACCCATTTTGTAGTAATTTTAATCATGTGATCTGTCTGTACCTCTTCAGAGGGATTTGACTGATTGGTGAGAGATCCAGGAGATTATTTTTTAAAATTTAAAAAAATTTTTAAAAAATTCTCTAACCTGGCTTTACAGAGCCCTTCTCCCCCTCTCCCCCCCCCCATCAGTACCAGGGATCAAACTCACGACCACACTTGGAAGGCAGGCGCTTATGCCACTGAGCTAAATCCCCAGCCCCGAGCCCTTCTTTTTCAAAATGTCATTATCACTGTCCGGATCCTATCCTTGTTAGCAAAACTGTCCAGGTCTGGGATTTCTACTTATCAATTGTTTAACCTAGAATTTTTAAAAAAATTATTACTGTGGTGTTATTAAACCCAGATTCTCTTGCATACTAAGCACCATAATCTCCCACCAACCTAAAATGCTAGCCTTTTAATTTAGACATTCTATTACATGTGCATAATTTACCATTATCTAAAATAAATATAATTTGCCATTCTTCCAAACAAGTCAAGGATTTAAAAAGTTAAACTACTTAAACACTGGAGTTAAAATATATTGTAACAATATATTTTTAATTTTAATGCTTTTGACTCCACAAGCATTATTTTACTATTATTGTACCTTTTTTTAGATTCTGTATTTACCAGTCTCTTTGGTTTTCATATCTTACTGCATTTTAGGCTTTCTATCTGGCAATACTTCTCTTCTGATT